AGCCATGGCCTAGGCCTCTCTTGGCCTCTGAGTCATAGAGCCAGATATCTCAGGGCTGCCAGGAGTGCAAACACTCCTAATCTGCTGCCGGCCATCTGGGTGAAGGCAAATATCGACCACCAGGCATGCATGGGGAGTGTTGTCATCTTTTATTTTAGTGGGGCCCTACTCACTTCCCTCAAATTAAAGATATATAGACACTGGGAAATTACAATAATGGTAAAAAGAAACAAACTGCCTGATAGAGGAAAAGGAGAGAATTGTACCAGAAGCCAGAATGAGAACTGAGTGCTTAATTTGGTTCTAAGTCTGGTTCCCTGAGCAAACAGTGACATACATGCATAATCTAATATTGTTCATTGATAGATATTTGTCCTGGTACTAAATTCCAGAATTGATTCCTTGGCCCTTACATAGAGGATAGAGTAATAGTTTGTTTAGCAGCACTGTGGACAAGACATAGAAATGCTGGTCATGGGCCTCAAGTACCCTTCATTCTGCTCGCCTGCCTGTCCTATCTGCCCTGTCCTAGGCCTCCTTTCCTGTCCCCTGAGGAGCAGTCACACATCATCTTGTGAGACCTCTATATGCCTGTTTTACTCAGCAGTGTGGCCATAAGGGATATATGTCCCTTGAGAACAGTGGACCAGGAATGAGGAATCCTAGGTTCTCATCCCAGCTCCTTGCAACCTTAACCGAGTTGCCTACCCTCTGTGGGCCTCAGTTTACCCATGTTTAAAGTGAGATATTGAACTAAATGATGACAGAAGTAAATTACGTAATTTTCATTTATCAAGAGCATTCTATGTCCCAGGTAGATTATATATATTATCATAGATCCTTACCGTTGTCTAACAAAAGATAGAGGCACTATTATTTCCCATTTTACAGAGAAACTGAGCCACGGCTGGGTTTGGACCCACGGCTGGGGTTGACTGACATAACCCAAGCCTTTTCCTTTGCATTTTATTGTGAAGGCCTCTCCTCTGAATCTGAGTTCACACCACACTGGCTGAGTCCCTGGCATGTGTGAGAGACTGCCCTAGGTACTGAGTGGGACAACAGAGTCCCTGTTCCCAAGGTACCTTGTGAAGACTGAACAGGTACCTTGAGTATAACTTGCACTAGTTACTTTTGTGACACTAGCACTGAATCTTAATTTTATCCACAGCTGGGCAAGTCTGTGGTGGCCAAAGTGAAAATTCCAGAAGGCACCATTCTAACATTGGACATGCTCACTGTGAAGGTGGGTGAGCCCAAAGGATACCCTCCTGAAGACATCTTTAGTCTGGTGGGCAAGAAGGTCCTGGTCACTATTGAAGAAGACGATACGATCATGGAAGAATTTGTAGAAAATCATGGCAAAAAAATCAAGTCTTAAAATAAAGTGCCATTCTCTGAATTCTGAATTGCCTTGCTTCTGAATTGTACTGTTGGGTATGTTGGGTGAGGTGGGACAGGAGTGGTCTCCAGACCTGGCTCTCATCTACTTCCCCTCCCTGACAGCGGACGTTTTTGAGCCAGGCCCTGTGTCAAGCCCATTGGAGGGATACAAAGAGCAAATACAACCATCTCTGCTTCAGGCTGGCTGGTCCAGAAGGGGAGCTGGGCTCAAAAGCAAATCATCACCTTCAGTTGTGTGGGTGCAGGAGGGGCAAGTGCTGGCTGTATGGGTCCCCTCCTTTAAGCCTTCATTCTTATTGCCCACAAAGCCAACCCAAATAACCCCAGATTCCCCTTCTTTCCAGACCTCCAGCTGTCTCTCTCTCGTTTTTAAACCACTTATTTTATTAGTATTATTATTATTTTGTTAATCCTCACCCAAGGAAGGATATTTTTTCCATTTTTTTAGAGTGTAGAAAAGAGGGAGGGGCGAGAGAGAGAGAAACATCGATGTGAGAGACGCATCAATTGGTTACCTCCTGTACGCCCGACCCGGGCTGGGATTGAAGAACCTGCAACCCAGCAGTGCTCAGGCCAGTGCTCCAACACTGAGCAGAACTGGCCAGGGCATATCTCCCCATTGCCTTATCCTCTGCGCACTCTGAGGCTGTGTTCAGTTAGCTGTTTAGTAATCACTTGTATTAGAGAAGGTATTGGTCAAAGGCAGAGAAATACCCAAGGCTCTGATATCTCAGAAAAGAGAGGGAAGTGGCATTCATTCCTTTCATTAGCTATGGCCCTGGCTGGTGTGGCTCAGTGGTTAGAGCTTCGGCCCACGGACTTAAGGGTCCCAGATACAATTCCGACCAAGGTCATGTAACGGTTGCAGGCTCGATCCCTGGCCCCGACTGGAGCACGTTTGGGAGGCAACCAATCGATGTGTCTCTTTCACATCGATGTTTTTTTCTCTCTCCCTTCCACTCTCTGAAAAACAAACAATAGCTATGGAGTGCTTACTATGTGCCAGGCTCTGTTTTAGGTCCTGAGGATAACACCAAATCCCTTCCTCATGGAACTTTCACTCAGGTGGAGACAGATACGCAATAAACCATGAGCATAGTAAGTAAATCACAGTTATGTTAAAAGGTCATGTGCAATGGGGGTAAAACAGAACCGCGTGAAGGAGATGAGGAATGTGGGGCATGGGGTATTAGTAGGTTGTGGCAACTTTGAATATGGTGGTAAAGCAGAAATCAGCCCTTCTATGATCCGTAATAAAATTATAAACCCATCTAATAAAAAGGATTGTCTTACTTCCTTGAACAGCAGCATGAACCTTTCACTGAGATTTTCTCATACTCCCCTTTATTCTTTTGAACCCAGAGAGATCATTCTTTTCAAATGTATTTTCAGATTCTTACTCTTTGTTCACCTTTGACCTTGTTTACTATAACTCCTCTTGTTTCTGAGTGTACATTTGAGAGTCTTTTCAAATGCATAAACTAGCCTTTTGAAGTTTACTTGTGAGTATAGAACCTCCCCCTCCTGCAGATCCCAAAACTGTTTCCGGAAAGGCTCTCACGCTGTATGTGGGGGTGGGGTGGGATAGGAATCCTGGGATGTACTTGTGTGTAAAAGAGAACCAGTAAAATCGATGTGCTGAGAACTGAAGTGTCACAGTACCAATTTCTGGCTATTTACTCCCTTTCATTTTTCCCTATAAACAGACCTTGAAGAGACCATCAAAATTTCCTATCCTATGGCCTTTTTCTACAACAGCAGATATTTAAGCAAATATCTGAGACTTCCTAACAAGAAGAGACATAGCATTAGAGGGATGTGTTCCAGGGCCTGGAAACAGGATGTGGGTCTGGAAGAGAGGGAAGGGCCTGGCCTGGACTCTAGGTGAGAATGTGCAGTGGGTGGTTTCCAGCAGGGAACCAGTCGGCCGCCTCTACGAACAACACCTCATGTGTATGAACTGCTGAGATGTTTCCCAAGAGCCATGGGAGTCATGGGAGTGGGGATAGGAGAGAAGGCATAGTTAGGGAAGGCCTCCTGGGGGAGGTAGCATTTTAGTTCAATCTTGCAGGTTGAGAAGTGACTGAGGGAGTTGGGGCATAGGCTTGGGAAGTGACCGAAGTGTCCAGGGACTAGCAGGTGATGGTTTGACAGGGAACGGTCACATGGAAAGAAGGGATTTGGAATTGGTCAGGAAAGAAGCAAGAGCTTAAAAGCCTGCTGAGTTTGGATTTTGTTCTATAGGCAGTGGGGAGCTGTGGAAGGCTTCTGAGCCAAACATGGTAGACTCAGACCTGGACCTCCCACTCTCACACTTATTGTCCATCTAGCTTGGCTTCTTGGGAAAGCTGTCCCCTCCCCATAGTATGAACTCCTGCCCACCAGGCCCTGGCTGTGCAGGGCCACCTCTGTATGCCCTCTGCTAGGCTGACATCATCCCCCGTTTCCTGACAAAGCGCAATTGCAGAAACGGAAGAGAGGATGCAGTGGGCAAGGGAGGGTCCCTGGAATCTCTAAAAAATTAGTAAGGGCCAAAGATGACTTCAGTGTTGGTAAAGGATACTCACAAAGATGCCAAAAACGATATAATACTGTCATGGATAGGAACAGCAGGGAGGCAGAGTTTGTTTTCACATAAGCAAGAACTTAGTGAATTATCTTCAGAAGTGGTGAAGTCCCTGTCACTGGAGATAGTCAACCAGGGACCACTGCAAGGAAATTGTGGAGGAGGCAGAATATGAGCAAGACTGTCCAGGCCAAATGCCATGTACCTGAAGCAACATGAACTCCCAATGAAGACCATGGTTAAAAGAGACAATATTCAGCCCTGGACAGTGTGGCTCAGTTGGTTGGAGTGTTGTCCCATACACCAAAAGGTGGCAGGTTCAATTACTGGTGAGGGCACATACCCAGGGTGTGGGTTCAATCCTCTGTTAGGGTGCATGCGGGAAGCAGCTGAATGATTTTCTCTTATCGATGTTTCTTTCTCCCTTCCTCACTTGAAAAATCAATTTAAAAATAAAGAGACAATACTCATATTTTATGTAAACATACATATTAGAAAATTGCTGTCATTTAAACATATCTGTAAGCAATTTGCTATATCAATTAAGAAATTTCTACATATTCAAATCTGAAAGAGTGATCAGTACCGTTGCAGACATGGACCCCAAGGAAGCTCAGTCCTCTCCTGAGAATATGCAAGGAATCTCCTGCTATTGCAAATGGCCCTAGGATTACCAGTTGTCTCAGCACTAAGCACATCAAGAACTCTGCTGGGTATGCTCACACACCCTGGCATGGCACAGCTGTACAGTTTTTAAGGCAAGTTCCTATCCTTTGCTCATTTGAGATTCACAGCACTGGTAGATAGGATCATTACACCCATTTTACAGATGATGCTTGAGAAATAAACAGTGACTAGCCTGCCCAGACAGGCGAGGCTCAGTGGTTGAGCATCGACCTAGGATCCAGGAGATAAGAGGTTCAGTTCCTGGTCAGGGCACATTCCTGGGTTGTGGGCTCGATCCCCATTCAGGGGCATGCAGGAGGCAGCCGATTAATAATGACTCTCTCATCATGGACGTTGCTATCTCTCTCCCTCCCCTGTCCTCTCTCTGAAATTAATAAAGATACATACATATATTTTAAAAGCGACTAGCCTGAGGTCACAATTGATTGTGAACCAGAACTGCAGTTTTCTGGCTGGTACAGGCCTTGGCACAGAGTAGGCATTTGATAAAAGCCACTTCCCCCCCTTTATAGTCTCTGCTACTCTCAATTCCCCCTCTAGGTGTAAGATCTCAATCTCAGAGCCCAAGGAAGATAATCCAAAGATGGACTAAGGTCCCACAGAGTAACCAAGCAAAAAAGCTAAGCATTACAGGCCCACTGAGAGGGGCTAGAGTGAGCCCAAACAGTATTCTTCTTGTATTACACTGCCCATATAAAAGTGCCATTTTTTAGGTCAAAAACTATTGGAAATTTGCATTTTTATGATTCAAACTAATTAATGCACTGGGAGTCTGTTTAAATTATAAGGGGGATTCAGCTTTGCATTTTCCTCACCCTACCACTGTCTTCCTGTCAAGCACCTAACAAGATACTTTTAATATGATATAACTTAAAAGCTGTCTAGGGAATTTGACAAGTCAGGATGCTGACCCTTCAGAACTGAGGCACAGGCCCTGAAAAGAGGCCTTTCCCAACCTGCTAGAGGAGCTGGCCTCCCTGTGAGGTCCTGCCAGTTTGGCCTTTTCTATTTCTAGCACTTCTTACTGGAAAATGGGGCTCTATGGGTTTCCGTGGCAATATCTGGATCTGAGGAGCATAGAGTGTCTGGGCTGCCCAAACTCAACTCCTAGCTGCTCTCCTTTGGGTTCTAAGACACTGGGAAAACTGCCCTTGGTTGCTTAGTAACTGCCACCTGCTGATTCTCCCCAGCATCCTGAACAATGACTAAGCAGTTAAATTCCCCAGGTTAAAGGCTGGGCCTAAAGGACTGGGCCAAAGGACAAATCAGATACTCAGATACTTGCCTGGGGGCTGGGAGGGTGGCCCGGCCCTCAATCACCGTGGATGGCTTTAAGCAACTTTCTTTCAGGTCAGGACCTTTGTCTCCCCAAATGTAGGATGAGGTCAGGCTGGGTGATCTGTGAGGCTCTCGAAGCCCAGCTGCTCTGTGATTCAATGAAAGCCAGCTGCTTGCTATTCACTGCCTGGGAGGGCAGGGACTTAACTGCATTTTTGGGGGTGGGGAGAGTATAGGACATAGCTGCCCTTAGAAAGCTTCCAATCTAGTTGGAAAAATAGGTCCCAGGTTTGTGGCCCTGATACTGAGGGATTCTTGTGGCTTGGGGACACTTCCGTGGAGCAGTTAAGCCTGGGGAAGACTATGACAGGCAAAAAGAAGAAAAGGGCTTTCCTATCTAAATGTACATAGTGGGGGAGGGTAGCTGCAAAGGCACTGAGGTCAACTATGTGACACAGTTCTGCTCCAGGGTATCTGAAAAAAGCTGTTATAAGGTGAGGTGAGGTGCTTTTACCCCCTGGTGTCCTTGGGAACCTTTCCATAGTTCTGAGACATTAAGTGTGGTTTTAGGCGGATCACTCTGGCTATAGGTGGAGGAGGATGGGAGAGGGTTCAAGCCAGGCTCTTGCTGCTGCTCTGGGGAGGAAACATGGACAAGCTAAATGAAGTAGAGTGGAAAGGAGGAGGCAGATCCAAGGGCCATTGAGTAGATAAGAGCCAGGGCTGGGTGACTCATTCATTCACCTATTTACTGTGCACCTACTATGTGCCAGGCAGTTCTGGCTTCTGAGGGAGGAGGTCTGAGGCTAATAAGCATAACATGATGATTGGTCAGGACGCCCAGGGCTCACCTGTGAGCGTGTCCTTCCAGAAACCTGGGCTGAAAGGACTGTAGCCTAAGTGCTCTGGTGGCGGGGAGGTCTGATGAGAGCAGCAGCGGAGGGCCTACGTTTAAGGCATAACTGAACCCAGCCTAGGAGAGGAACCGTTCCAGCACACGGCATGACTGGAGGGGAGACTATCCGTGTGCTTGGAGAGCTGGCCGTGGGCAACCCCCGCCTGTGACCAGACCCCGGAGTCTGAGGGCGGTGGCTCCAGTCTCGGCCCCTAGGGCAGCCGGGGGATGCTGATGGCGCCCTCCCAGAGCCGCAGGGCAGGGTAGAGCGGCTCCTGGAAGGCGGCGCGGAAGGTGTGGAGGTGCCTCATGCCGTCCGACACGTCGTAGAAGGCGAGGACGCCGGCCTCGTAGTCCAGGAAGACGCCCAGCCGGTCGGGGTCGCCGCGGGGCAGCAGGCGGCTGCGCTGGCTGTCGTGGAAGGCCCAGTACTCCAGGTCGTAGCGCTTCAGGCACCAGGACTGGCGGTTGCAGCCCA